ATTTTCGTACGAATTTTTTCCGTCTAGCCCCCTTTCACAACGCGCGATAAGGAACTTCGTTCCAATAACTAATGTTATGTAATTACTCCTAGTATATCCATACTTCTATACTTTTATTATAAATTTGAAAGGGGGTTTGTTACGACTTCGGGCCTAAAAAATGCTTCTTTTTACCGCGATAACACGCGGGCGGAGCCGCCTGCAAAAGCTAGCATAAAATAAATACGATATAAAATGTTGATTGCACGGATGGCGTAATGGTTAAAGCGCTCACTTTGCCGCATTCTACTGCGATGAGTGTTGTGGGTTCGATTTCCACATAGGACATCATTAAGTGTGATCAACAAATTGTTGCTCTGAGTCTGAGTGTTCTTTCTGTTCGTTTCATGTATGTTTGTAAAGTCTCCCGCGGCACTGGTAATGTTCCTGGTGGAGTTGTCTTTTAAACAAAAAAAAAACAACAATGTCTAAGTAATGCTAATGAATAACTATATAAATATATGCCATAACCACTCTTAGAAGTGGAACATTTTCGTGTAATTTAACTGGAGCCACCTCATTCACCAAAAGAGGATTAATAAAATACGTTCACAAATGTTGAAGATATCACGTAACATACACAACAGAAATTAAATGAAATTTTCAATCGAATTGAGAAGCATCTCCTTTTCTGAAAATATAGCATACTTCATAATCATAAATTTTCATGAATCATGAAAAGTGACCATCGCCAAGTGAACGTGAACCACCCATGAACGTCTGCAACTCAGGAGTCACAAACGCGTGGCCTTTTCGGAAGGAAAGCTCTTATCTTGAATGTTTGAAGGTTGTATCGGTCCGGAAATACCGCAGACGATAACCCTTTACACAGATTGGTTGTGCGCGGCAAAAAGTGTCTCAAAAAGCGCTTTGTAGTGGAGCGCTAACTATCCAGGTGATGTGGATGACAATTTTGCCGTGTGGAACGATGGCGGAAAGTTGCGGCTGGTATTAGTGCGCATAATTCCTCGGTCGAACTAAACGTTTTTAAACTTCTGTTGGTATGAGTTATCAAAGTCAGTATGGAACTGGTTACGTCTATTTTTAGAGTCAAGTATACGCATGGATCTTTCAAAACCAAAATAAAGAGATATCTCTTCGTCTTTATGGTCACTTGTTAGATGATATTCAAGATTGGCCTATTCTAAATAATCAATTAAAAAAGTATGTGTTGAAGGAAAGTAAACACCCTTAGTATAGTAAACCAGGTCAAACCCGCAATAACCTAAACAAATACAACTTTAACTAGGTACTATTTTTATAACCTTGAATTTCATAAACTTTATTGTTACTTTGTGCATGTTTGCATGTTAGGTAGCCATTAAGTCTTCTTAGTTCTAGAAACCTAGAAGATTAATTGTGCCACGTAGCATATGCAATATGCACTTATACAATGAAATTCAATTTTATATGGGTTAGTTCTCTGTTACGTGGGCCAGTTCTCTGGTATGTGGGTCAGTTCTCTGTTATATGAGTCAGTTATATTCTTTTGTAAACTTTATTTACTCTCACTTATGTCTATAATCCAGAAGGGGTAGACAGAGGGGTATTAATTGCCGATATTTTGCCGACTTGCCCTTTTAGGTAATAGGGGCATACCTATTACCGTGAACCGGACAATTTATAATAATAATCAACCAAAGGTCTAGTCCCAAACTAAGCAAATTTTTATTAATTCTTAAGTCTCACAAAGTCGATATAGGTTAGTAATTTCAGGCGTAAATGAAAACAAATCAACAATCAAGGTTATTACTAGAAACAATTAAGTGTATATTAAGTCAAACATTTTGTGAGTATGCCTTAAAACTATAGATAAAAGATGAAATATTTTCTAATATTAGAAAGTATAAATTTTAAATCCAGTTGAATGCAATATTTCTCACAGCATATAAAGGAGGCCATAAATCACGGTGGTTGACGTAAAGGCTACGGCGGTATTGGCTAGGAACAGAGCAGCCGATCAGTTCCCGTGGGTATAGTCTTGTGTAAAAATATACTACACTATAAAAAACTTTATACTCTGATAAGCGATAACTTGGTAGGTAATATATTTATTCATACAAACAACTTATTTTGATGGATCATTAATTAGTAGAGATCGACTAATAGGGCACACCACAATTGTGAGGATTGGCTAGAGAGATTCTGCCTGGGCAAGTCTGATTTGGTTAGTACCTTTGTTGTACTCGTACAGGCCGGGAGTCAACGTCTGAGTACCATCACTTCGGAGGCTCTTGCGAGGACACTGCACCCAAATCTAGTGGAGTGCTCTGGTTGGATACTGAAACGAAGCAAACTTGTGACGGCTCTTGTGTGTGGATAGCCTTTTGCTAAAGACGGTAGTTCAAAGTGAGAGTGCGTGGAATCCCGCTGTCTCGTTTTCCAAATAGGTCATGTTGGGCAACGTGGAGGCGGAACAGAAACGGGACAGAACAAACATTCTCTGTCCCGCAGGAAATGCACTAGGCCCCGAAGAGTGCAAGTAAGACATGTCGTGATTCGGAATTATAGTACTGGTTAGCCCTGGTTTTTTTTTTCATAATAAAAGACAACTCTCGCATTAGGAATAAGTATATCCTGTGACGCGGGGGTCTTTACAAACATACATGAAACGGACACGAAGAACACCCAGACTCAGAACAACAATTTGTGGATCACACAAAGTGTAGTCCTATGTAGGATTGGCCCGACAGCAGTTAGCGTAGTAGTAAGCGGCGTGGCGACCGCTTAACAGTAAATCCTGTTAAGACCAGTATTACCATTCTGAATCACGACAGGTCCAACATATATTAAAATCATAGAGAAAATAGATACAAAAAGCTTTAGGGTCCTTTACAACTTATTGCCGCCTCAATTATTTTTTTCAATTTAAAATACAAAATGACTGCCTCGGCGGTGCAGTGGTAGCGTTTCCGACTGCTGCGCTGAGGTCTCGGGTTCGATTCTCGGACCAATATTTGTTTCATCTGAGAATATTTGTTTCGGAGTGTAGGTATTTTCTATGTAAAATATGTATGTACATATTTACAAAAATAAAGTATATAAGTATTCTATCAGCCAATCTAGCGTTCATAGTACAAGCTTTGCTTAATATGAAACTAGATGGCGTTGTGAGTTGGACGTCTATCTGAAAATATTATTGTTATTATAAAATTAGCTTTCTGCACTTTTCCTACGTATGACTATTAAAAGATTGATGCCCGTTTTCACCAACTATACTTAAATCATCTCCTAACTAGGAGTTCCGTAACGTAGGTAACCCCTAAATACAACTCTCATCTAATTTCGTTTTCACCATGCTAAGTGACCCCTAACTAAGGGTCTCCTATTTTGTAGGGGTTTCATAAACCGTAAATTTGCGTAAGAGTTTTCCGGTTGTATTTTTTTTGCAATTTAAAGTATTAAAATGATTTTTATTACTTAATAAGAAAAAATATGTGAAATAAAATACTTTTTTGTGTATTTAAACATTTAACTATTTTTTTTTTTGTAATTTGGTGCTGAAAATGTAAATTCCAATGCTGGAAGCATGGGAATTTACATTTTCAGTTCCAAGTGTCAAACTGACAACTGTCAAAATAAATAGTCGTGGAGGTCATAAAGTAAATATAGTTTAAATTTTTAATTTAATTCAACATTTGCATTGACTATTTGTTTAATTCAGCATCATCTCCACCTATTATTTAATTTAGAATGATTACATTGCTATAGACTTAAATATTATTTGAATGCAATTTTAGATGTTTACCTGGTGATTGTATTTTTATGTGTGTACAATCTAAACAACCCATTACCCAAACAACACATTGGGGCAGTTCGCAATTTTGAAAAAATCTGATTTTATTGTAACTTGTTCTTATTCTGTTTCTGGAAATACTATGAATTCCCTAAGTGAATTCCTTATTCTATTAAGCTCCAGCGATTCTCCTGATAATACGGCTGCAAGTACTAACACTGCTGACGCACATATCAGATACTGTTTGCAAATGACTACCCGCAGCATAGAACCTCAGGGCACATAGTAACTGTTTTATAGGGGGCACTGATTTGTTCCTGTAAAATAAAAAAAAACCCTTGTTAAACGGTTTGACCAGGGTAAGGACCATCATCATTTCAAATAATATATTTGTATCGACAAAGTCACAGTGTCCACACCAACTGTTGTGTTTATTTGGGTGAAATCAATGTCCCGGAGCCCTTTAAGTATTCCCATCTCTCCCAAAACCAGTAGGTACACTCTCTGTGAATCACACACTTCAGAAAATCCTTTGACTGGCCGCCGGCGGTCTTAGTTACGTGCTACTCCTCTTCACCCTTCCTTCTTTTCTAATTTCTTTTCAGGTAAACCTGTGTCTGTGTCTACCTTCTTTGTAAAACATAACCTAGCTTCCGTCCAAACTTAATATAACTACAAAGTCTCACAAAAAACGAAAATAATAATTGTTTTACTTACTTGTTGCCATCAGGATATTCCAATATTTGTTCAATTTTATTTAATAAAAAGATAACACTCCCCTTGGTTAACCTAAATCTTGTAACAAAATCTTTATCGTCATATTTTATAAATTCTCGGTCTTTTGAATAACCTAGGATTATTTATCATCTCTTAAGTCTCAAGAATATTGAAAAAATCCCATAAATCGTCCATTTCAATAATTTTAAACAAAAGTTGCGTCAAGTTGCTCTGTCACTTTGTTAGGGGTTAGTTAGGTGGTCAACATTCGGGCCCTAAGTTTTGAGAGATACCTAAACACTTAGGTGTCCTCTAAAGGTTGGTGAAAACGAAAATATCACTAAGGGTTACCTAACTTGCCCTAGGTGGCCCTTAAAATTTAGGGGATGTTGGTGAAAACGGGCATAAGAGTACAATGAAATACCTAATCTTTTTTTTTAAATTAAAATCGGTTACGACTTCTAACAAGTTACAAGTGAGTAATAAAATATTTTTGTACTTCTTCCAGACACGCTGTCAGTCCATTACTGTAACCGAGAGGTGTCCATCGCAGAGGTGGGCTCCGATAGTGAGGGATATATCCGTACTCCAGGATACCCACACTTCTACGTCGGAGACGTGTGCCGGTGGCGGCTAAAGGCTAATCCTGAGCAAAAGGTCCGAGTCACGTTTCTGGATGTAAGCCTGAGAAGTAAGTACTACTAGTAAAAGGCTAAACAATTTTTTGTTTTTTGATATATAATAATAATAATAATATTTCTCACACATCTCACACACGGCCGTCTGATCCCAAACTAGGCAGAACCTGTACTATGGTAACCAGACTGCTGATAAACATACTTATTTTTTTTTGAATAGATACGTATTATAGCAAATAACCGTGCTCATCACACAATATTTGTCCTGGGTGGGAATCGAACCCACGACCTTCGGTTTAGCAGTCAGGGTCACTAACCACTAGACCAACAGGCCCGTCGATAAGATAAGATAGATAACATAGATTAGAAATATGTTTAATAAAAAGACATTAACGAAGGAAAAAGCTAATAGGTATTTTGGTTATCCACTTTATAAACAGCCCTGAAAGTTTCTGATTCGGACAGCTGAAATAAAAAGCTATTATTAAGACTTTTTAATTAACCAATATTTTGTTCTTACAGGCATAGGTCCTTTTGAGAATCACTGCACAGACTACGTCACAGTTGAGGATCAGAATGGCAATTCCCTTCTGCACTCTTGTGAGCAAGTGGAGCTGCCTCTGCGGTTGACATCAATCACTAATGTTGTGGATGTGGCCGTGGCAGCTAAGTCCAAAGGAGCGTACCCTAAAAGAGGAATGTTGTTACATTATAAAAGTAAGAAACCAATTATTTATAAGTACGTAACGTATCGCTTAGACGCACTACATTTTTAAAACGAAACAGTAGCGACATCTATTATGATTTTTTCCGTTTTTGTATTTAACAGCGCCACCTATGTTTTAAAAGGCATTATCGTTTTGAAAAAGGAAAACTAAGGAGAGTGCTAACCAGTGCCATCTATTCTTTTGTTTCGCAGGTATAGGTTGTGTAACTTTACGAGCGCCATCTAATGGCTACCTGGTATATCGCAACGAAGACGTGGCACATTACATGTGCAACGTGAACTTTGTTTTCAATGATACCCGAGAGAGGGCGCGTCTACTGTGGTGTTATGATGATAATCGGTGGAATGACACAGTACCTTTGTGCGTTGGTAAGTTTTTAAAACATGTTTCATGAAATTTTAGTTTTTAGAAATAGTGTTATGATTTAAAAAATCATCATCAGGTAAATTTTAAATCGCTGGAAGATTGATTCATTTTTTTTTAATACTGCTGAACCGATTTTTATGAAATTATGGCATTTGGCATGGAGATACGGTGATTCTTGAAGAAGGACATAGGCGTTTTACCGCGATAACCACGGAACAGTTAAACCTCTTTTAACTGTTCTGTGGCGATAACCGATATACACGCTGGCGGAGCGACGGGCAAAAGCTAGTATGTAATAAATCCTAAACATGTAATAAATACTATAAATAAGTACTGTTTGTGTGTGTGTGTGCGTGTGCATGAATTTAAATGTATCAAATCATTATTTTATTATCATAATGTTGTGTGTTTAAAAACTTACTGAAAAGTAATACCTACCTAGTTATTTTTTTTTAATATTATTCGAAATCGTTTCACAGGAAAAAATGTTTGCAAACTGCCACCGAGGAGTATTTCCCTACTAATTTTCTAAGTGATTAGTCTATTCCAGTCGTAATATTTTCTAAACTTGCATGAAAACCTATTTTAGCTACACGTAATACCGTAAATCATGTTAAAAGAACTTCCTACGGCCTCGCCAATCTTGCCATAAAGCAGATAAGTAATAAAATATTATAGTGTAGCGCAAAACTTGTCGATAACAATGAACGCTCCCTATAAAAACTTCTATGAAGCATTTTGACTAGTGTTAGTGGGGAACACCTGCACATGCGCATATTCTTCATTTCCTTTTTCCCTTTCAGACTATTCTTACAGCTTGAGTAAAAGCAAGACAGCAATATGATTGTCAGCTTCATTATGATAATTTACTTTTAATACTTCTATATTAACTTTTGACTCTATCTTTTTCACAATACAGTTCATTTTTGATTGACGCGTGTTGTTATTATTTTCATCGTCAACTAAGGGCTACTCCACATCAGTTCTGTGAGAAGTCGTAAGCGTTAGTAAATAGAATATTCGTTCTTCGGCTGTCGTCGAGTGCGTTCGGAGCGTTCGGGATTTGAAATAAACGAAACTGTAATTTTTCGTGTCTAAGGAAACACGTGTTTTCAGCCAAAGTGAGTTTACATTTTTTTTGTGTTTATTGAATAAGAATGTTTGAATTTAAGGTGAATTTTAGTAGTGGGTTAGCGTTAAATATTTTTTCAGTGTTTGATGTGAAGTTTTCAGTTAAAATGTAACTATTGGTAAGCTCATGTGGGAGTTTGGTTATTATTTAATACCAAGAGACCCCTTTCTTATTCTAATATTTAATCTTTATCGTGCTCAGAAACATCTTAAAAAGTAATTGCATTTATTGTTTTGATTTATTTTTGTTGTGATTTTATTAGATATTTTTGTTGCAATTTCTATAAAGTACAAAGTAGAACTGCACAGGAAATATTCGAGTTTAATATTGTTTATGTAAACAGCAATAGATGGATAAATAAATTCTTTAACATTAGACTGTCTCTTCGAGGGTGCAGAGATACGTGTCTTATAGTTAAATGTTGGGGTTTTCTACTATACTTAGGTTTTAAGGAAATAAACTAGCTCTATATTATTTCCTAGGTATTTAGGTATGTTCATAAAGTTTTACTTTTATTTTAAACAGTTTGCTGCTAATTTAGTAGGGCCTTGAGTATTTTTTGATTAGGTACCTACCTGCCTCATTTTTTTTTAAATTTTTGTATTTTGTATCTAAGTAGTTGTTTTTATTTACGTTTACTAGCAAAATGCTATTTTATTTTCATCAATTAATTTTGTTTTCTACTTTACGTACCGAACGTGTAACTTTATAAAAAAAGGGTATTAAGAAAAAAATAATTAAATGGTTTAAATTTAGGAATTCAAAGAGGATATATGAATACTCTTTCATACCTATAAATCATTACAGGAATTACAGGCACACAAATTCATTCTGGGTTTGATATGTAGAGCTACAAATCATCATGTTTAACTATGTGATTTCGCGCCTATTTTATTCGCCCGGCTAGTTCTCTATCTTCTAACAGGATCTTGAATAAGTTTTGCTGTTTCTTCAAAGAAGACTACACATAGAGAACGCTTCTTGAACAGAGATATTTTTCTAATGCTTGTGAGTAGAGAAACCAGAACCTGAGATTACTATGTATTCTGTATAGGTATCGGTGAACCGCTCACCATCGGGCTTAGCCTTTATTAGCTATAGTTCCATAAAAAATCAGGTAAATTTAGACTTATAAGTGTAAGCGAAATCGGTAATATTTAACAGAATATAACAACAATATACCTACATGTACAATTATTTAATTATCAATTTAATGGTCACCTCTGTTTCCTATGACGTTGCGTACAAAGTAGTCAGACAGTCTATGTTTCCTTGTACAATGTAGGTACGGTGTTAATATTCTCGTTGTACTTTTTTAAGGAAGCCACAGTAATACAAGTTGAATTTTTGGATTGATTCTCACGTTCATTCTACACAAAATCGGTGTAAAATCGTGTCTATTAGGTTTGTTCCTAAGTACCTGTCTAGGTATTTTGTTGTTTAAGTTAAAAAAAAAATTGAATAGAGAAACGCCTCCTTTTTTAAATTGTAAAACATAGAAGTAACTAGTAAAGCTTATTCTTAGTAGATATTTATCATGAAACATGCCAAATAGAGGCCTTATGCCTTTCTTTAGTTGATTAGTTATGATGCTTTATCTTCTTTATACTTCTATATATTCTGATTTTGCTCTTAAATTTTGTATACCACTGCTACTAACGCATATTAGCATTATATTACACAGTCTTAAAAATATGTAGATCTAATACATATGTGTAGGTATGCAACCTACGACATTGGGCGGTAAATAAAACAATAAAACGGTCAGAAACCGATTTTTTTTCACTTTCATACACAAAAGTATACACGTTTGTAAAATTACACAAACGGCACATATTCCTGTAGATAAAAATATATGCTTTTATATAAATAGAAAATAACCTCGAGTGCGCGAAACATATACTTAGGTGTTTCCTTATATAAAAACATAATACGTAATATTACAAAAATAGTGAATATAAATATTGTTCCACTATTACCTGTAATAATAATTTATTTTTATTTAAAGACTTTACAAACATATATTATTTATATATATATATATATTTATAATATGGACACAAAGAACACCCAGACTCAGAACAACAATTTGTGGATCACACAAAGTGTGGTGTCATGTGGGGATCGGACCTACAGCACTCAGCGTAGTAATCGGCGTGGTGACTGCTTAAACCTACACCATCCGTGCAATCATTGACAACTCCGTACAGAAAGCTCACCTATTCAATATACCTATAATATAATATATATGTATATATATATATAAAGAAATAGAGTTCTCTCTTTATGCTACGCAATAAAGTTTCTAAAAACTTGAATATATGGATTTAAGAACTTCATATTTAGGAAACATCAGTTATCACGCGTCAACTGAAGTTCTAAATACCAAAGATATTTTTCTGTTTTAAGCTAAAGTAAAAAGGAATGTAATTTTATTTAAGCTTATTATGATAATAAAAAATAAAATTTGTTAAAATTTTGTACATCATTTTTGCAGATAAATATAGAGTTAATAAGGTTACTTTCTAGGATTGTTCGCGAGAGCTAGGTGGGGATGAAACACCGTATGGTTTTAGTTAGTTAGGTAAATACTTGGTTGTGCTCCTGACGATGTGGTAACGATGGAGCCGTCGACACGCAAACAACTAACACAAACTAACAATGTTTGAGATTGTTTATATATAACCTCTTTATTGAATTATCTTAATAAAATTAGAGATAGCTAGATTCGTAGGCAAGAAAAGAATATGAAAAACCACTCTATGTTTTTGAGGGTGTTTCTCTATTCGCTACTCTATGATAAATGTATTAAACGTTTACTTATAACGATAATTTACTAAAATAATAGTTATTGTTGCAAGATATGCATAAATTTTTTTTCTATACAGATAAGAAAACATAAGTAACATACACATAAGTATAATTAGCATAAAATTAAAATTTATTGGGAGCGTGCTTCCTTAGGTGCTTTCTTTGGCCGGCTGGACCGTTGTTGTTTTTTTTACCGAATGAATGAGGTTACCGGAGACCAACCTCTAATGCTGGAGGAGAGGGGAAGGGGGGGGGGGCAGTTGCCAGTCTGTCCATAGGCGGCAAATACAGTATTTATGTTATTATAATATCAAATTTACAAGCTACGCGCAGATTATCTTTATCTGGTAGATATAATTTCAGGGCCACAATTTCATTAGTATCGAACATATGACATTCATTTATTTATTTCTCGTCATCTCGTCATAAAATCCTCGTTCGGTAGCAGACGCAGTTCTCGTCCAGCACCTAAACAGTCAGGGATGAAATTACTAAAATAGTAAAATTCTTATTTCGTAGACAAAGGGTCATTGACCTGACGCGTGACGTTTTTGTGTTAATTACTAAGAGTTAGTGGAACATTGCTTTTATTATTAAGCATTTTTTTAATTTGAATTTTCGGAATTTTATGGCCAATCTATAACTGAAAACCTGATTTATGTATGTATACATCAAGAATAATCTAAAATCGATTCCATCCACTGTATATTGTAAGCAGATGATGGAATCGTTTTTTGAGTTTTATGCTTTTTTCGAATGGTAAACTTAACTTTGCCTTTCTGTTTATTTCTCACTCTCTATTCTCGTAAAACATACATACAGACACATACATTAAAACTAATGTGAATTAAACCAATTTTTTAATTAATACTTTAATAATAAGGTCAATTTGTTGTGATATACAGTTCAACATAAATGACGTGGTAGGTAAATAGCAATTATATGTTTATACTAAGGCATCGATGCGTAGCGGCACGCAGACGTCACGCTCGCGATTTACGCAAACTTCTCTATTTAAATAGTTGGACCATTTCCAAAAAGAGAAAAGAATTAGCGACTGGTTTTGATAGTGCACTCTTTACTTAATTCTATATTTAAATTTAAAAAATGAAATATGTTCCCGTTACGCCTGGAAACTAAAGACGTTGTCGATAAAAAAAAATGAAATTGTCAATAATCTTTTTCACAAAAATGAACTTTCGAGAATGACGATACAGTTATTGTTTTTTTTTAATAAATAGTTTTTCCAAATATGGCATTAATTTTTAAAAACAAAAGTTTTTGAGGGTGGACTTTTAAATGACTGTTACTCAATCACGCAATAACTGAACGAAACTGGATGAAATTTGGCACAGAAATCGATTATTGTCTTGAATTGTCATTGTCATTGAGCTATGCTTGAATTGTCATTGGCTACTTTTTATCAAGGAGACATTGATTAATTAAATCTTCATTAGGGTGATCGAAGCCGCGGGTAGATACTAGTACCCACGATGTCTTTTATTCAGTACCATGCTTTGTGGTCGTATAACATGACAACACGTGTTTTGCTATGTGGTCTTTTTGTAATTGCCACAACGCATTGCGAACGTTTACATACATACAACATAAGAACCATATTTTCACGAAGTGAATGTTGTACAGTTCCCACAATTTTGGTCTTTGCTCGTAATAAATTAAACATATGTGACTCAATCTCTGCTCGCAAAAAATCTAAAACTTTATAATTTTAATAAGTGGATTTTTTTCAATAAAAGATATTGATATATTTTTTATGCTAAAATTAATCGTAGCCATTGACGCGGAAAGCCTCGTGGTCTGTACCATACTGAAGTGAAATCGAGCAAGATTATATCGCCTCCTTTGTGGAAATGACAGATAAAAAAAGTTAGTAATATTGAATTAACTAAAAAACGAGTGAAATGATTTTTAATTGAACATTTTGCAGACTCATATTTCATTGCCAGACGCCTGTTTCAAGAACATTAATGAGAAAATTATCGACATCAAAACTCTTTTCAATTTGATCGTCAGAAATATTGTTTTAAAAGCTTTATTCGTTATAAAAGTATTTTATTATAGCGATAAATTGTTTATAGTATTTTGAATGAAATAGCAAGTAGGTTTTTCTTGAATTATTTCATTTAAAATAAGTAACTTGTGGAAATTGTTTTGTTA